AGGAGGAGGAGGGAGGAGAAGAAGTGGTTCAGGAGGAGGAAGAGATGATGGAAACGGAGCAGAGTCCCGGCGCTGCCTGCAAGACAGAATCTCAGCCATCGTAGTTGCCTTGAGTCCAGAAGAGGACCAGTGACGTCTGATCATTCTGTCCAGACAAAAGGTGTTGGTATTGGCCATGATAGGCAGTTGGCATTTTAAAGCAATATAGGTGGACAAGGACTGTCACCAATGAACTCTTTATTCCTTGCAACCAAAAACGTTGCCAATCTCCCTGGTATTTCAGTTTGCAGATTTTAACTTAAACTTTTTAGAAACTTTTTAAACCTTACATTTTTTGTCTAAATTCGACATTTTTCACCATCACAAGATCTTCATACTAAGACAAAGCAATTCAATGAGATTATGTAGATGATATTAATTAATTTTAATTCATTTTAATATTGTCCAATGATATTGCCTAAAATGATTCCAACATATCATGGCCAGAAGGTATAGGATGATTGATTGTAGTTTTAATCTTAAGGCTGTTTCATGATAGAGTAGTTGGCTGCTGAAGATGCTCTATATGTGGGATATTTATTCAGTATTGTATGATTTAGGTTTTAAGTTTGAACTAGTTGGCTGCTGTATGATTTGTTGAGGAAACGGGTTAAGATTTTAGATAGAACGGCTGGTTCACAAATGGTTTGTTCTTAGATGCATGCTTAAATCAAACCTCCTTCACTGAGCATGGCCGCACTCAGTGTGGTATCTGTTGATTTTGTTCAATATAATTATGATGCCAAATTAAGTATAGTGCATACATACTATTTATTGTTTTGTTGGATAGTGTACAAACACTTTTCGTTTAAGGTCAATGAGAAAACATGAAATAAAAAAAAAAAAGTGCCTCTTAAGACAAACCTGTTGTGAATCTGGACCTCATCAATTGTGTTTACAGTACAAACAAGAATGCCATAGAATTTAATGGTAAGGCTGTGGCTTTCTTCATCTCCTGTTTTCAAATCCCCATTTTAGCCTAAAAATAAAAAATCTTGGTTAAGTTTGTATACTCACATTTAACACCGATGCATGTACATGTTTTATCCTGCCGAAATGTATGAGTTTTTAAAAATGTTTTATTAGCTTGTCAGAGGAGCGTTATCTGGGATATGAGAGGTTACCCAGAAAACTAGAGTTTGTGCATCTGAAGCTAATGTTTTCCTTGTTAGCTGCACTCGGATCTAGTGGACAAGGAACAAAGGTTCTGTAGGCGGAACAAAAGGAATAGACCAGGGGGAATAACAGTACTTACATCTCCAGTAAATGGATGACACTAACTGGAGAAAACAGCTGCTGCAAGTCTATACACCGACTGGTGACCACTATGCCTTTGTTTCCTCTCTGTTGCTGAGACAATTAAGTGCAGCCTGACTTGTTGCTGCTAAACGTCTGTCAGCAGCAACTTAATACTGCAGTTACCCAGAACACTGAGTGCCGTTACTGAACTCAAAAGAGCCATCAGTGTTGCAGCATGTTTGTTTTGAGGAGAGGTGCGTGTTTGTTAGTCGGCTATTTTAAATGTATGACTCCTTTCATCAGTTAGCATTACCCTGCAGCTTCGTCTGCTCTCCCCGGGTAGAAACATGTGCACGCATCAGGTCTAAAGAAGTCGGACTGGCATAATTTCAGTTATTTTTTTTCCTAACCAAGCTTTTTTGAAGTATGGGGAAAAGTGAACCTGTACAATTTTAAATTCAAGTTTGATTTTTATAAAGAGCTGTCTTTGAGATGGGGTATGTCAACCTAAGCTAACATATTAACTTGAGGATAGCATTAGTGTTGATGAGCAATGCTAACAATGAATAAACTGAATCTTTACACATTTGAGAAAAAAATAACAGACTGCAGCTAAAACTGCCAATTTATCTCTACCTGGATATTGCCAATTGTAGTTCTCACTAGGATTATCATTTGCCATTTGTCGTTTTATGTGCATTTCCTTACTCCATTTGCACTGAGTTTCTCTTTGTATTTATTTGGCCATATTGTGTTTTAATGTGTTATTCAGGTTTTGCTGCACAGTTTGGTTAAACAATTAGACGCAAAATCTGGAAATACCATTACCATTGTACTGTCACTGTTTAAAAGCCCAGGTTGCGGACTGTAGCTGTGTAGTTGCTGCAGATTAGCATTTACTTGTTTGTTTGTTTGTTTTGCTTACATTTTAAGTTGTGCACTCACAGTAGGTGCCATCCTAATTCCTGGTATGGTTGCTGCTGTTGTTTACATTAGTTTACAGTGTAATCTGCCGTATTTGTAGCTACTGAGGCAACAAAAAAATCATGGAGGTTCATGCTTTATTTGGCCTGCACTAGCGCCTAGTGTTATTAAATGGAGCCAGAAGAAATAGTGAGTGTCTATGCAAATGTAGATTTATTGTATCACCTGTTTTTGTACAGGTGTGGTCCTAAAAAACACAGCCAGGCTAAGTGAGCAAAATATCCTTGAGGGGTATATTTGACTGTTTAATTTTGGATTGTCACACCAATTCTGTGTGTTTCCAGTAAGCTGTTGACCTCCTCAAGCTAGAATCATTTGGCAAAAGTTGTCTGTGAAGGTGAAGAAGGCCTTCTTAATGTAGACACCGCAGCAAAAGTGCTTTTAGACAAACCTTTGTTTGTTGAAGAGAGACTATGTAATGAATTTAAAGTTGCCTGACTCCTTGGCCACAGCTTTGACATTTTGATTTTGTCCTGTTTTTTCCCTCCACTGAGCAGCTGTGTTTCAAAAAGCTGCAACATGTAGTGCAAAATGCTGCATCATGGTACCTGTACCAGAGTACTGACTTGTGGTTCACTGGATAGTAGCGGTGGTACCAAGCTTTGTATCCCTCATTATACTTGCTGGTGATGAGCTGACACTTACATATTTAAAACAATTTTTAGTGGAATACTTTGTGTTTGTAGTTTTGTTTTTCTCTGCTAGATTTATCAGTTATGCTGGTTGTCATTAAGTGTGCGCATGGCACGCCTAATAAAAGTTTTCAACAACAAAGGAAGACTGTAGTTATTCTGTTCTAGTTTGTACATACTTTCCATGTCCACTGCACAGATTAATTTAGTTCTAGCCCAAATGAAACACTTAAAGCCAGATGCCACTAGGGGCAAGTGAACAGATCTGTTTATTAGGCTACAGTGTCTTACTTGAAAAAAGTTAGTTTGCCAGGGAAATGTGATCTATAAAGTGCACAGTCACTTCTAGATTATAAGCACGCGGTCAAAAATAAGTAATAAGAGTTATGTAAAAATGTAAATTCAGTGAGGCAATGACATAGTGAAGTCTGAGCTTTAGATAACCATACCACCATAATACAATTAATGATTTAATGGCATAAAATTAACGATGAATGACTTTTATTTTTCACTCTTTCACATCTACATAACTGCAAATATAAAAAACAATACATGAGCACAATAGGACAGCAGTCTCATAAGGAATCACAGCTGCAAAATAAATCAATTTGCCTTCAGCTGGTTGCTGGTAACAGGCAGCTAACACCGCACCTGTGATATTTCAAATTAAAATTTCATGAATATTTTTCACATTCACAACAATGTTCTTTTGCTATGCCACTGAATTTTCTACGGCACAATTAAAGCTGCACCAAACACACAATTCTAATCCCACATTCCATAAATGAGTAACAATTATTTGACCTAATTTATTCAAATAATCCTTTGGATGTATGGTCACTAGTGGAAAAGCTCCATGAGTGACTAAGCAAAACCGTTACAGAGGAACAGTTTCTCTGACAAATGTTGGCTCTACATTCCTCGATACATTCACCAACTCAGCCCTACAATGAGTTATTTTTAAAGCAGCAGATCAGTTTACATAGATTTTTAACCCCAGACCTTCAGTATGGGGTTAAAAACTAATGAGCTCTCGACAAACTGTACAACAGTGTTAAGAGGAATTTACATGCATCAGTAACAAAGCAAACCTTGCCACTAACCCATGAATGTTTGCACAATTCACAACCTCAACCCATAAATATAAATGAGACGTTTAGAAGTCAAATGAGTGTCAGGCAAAACAAAACAATAAAACTTCCAGGCAGGAAAATATCTTGCCTGCACTCAAAGACCAAGACTATTTCATCAACCAGACTCTTTAAATTGGATTGAAATACAATTAAATGAGTAAGCTGAACACATCTTCCTTTCCTACCTGTAACATCCAGGTTTCTACATAGACATTCACTCTCTCGACTGACCTACAGTAATGGGGTTTTCTAATAATATCCATTGTCAGTCTGCATCCTCACAACACTGGAAATGAAAGTCTTCTGATGTTAAAGTTTTTTTCTGTTTCAACATTTAATTAAATCCTCAGAACCAAACCTTAAATCAAGCTGCCAGAAAAGACAAAATAAATCAATTATTACTGTTATTGTTTTTACATACGAGTAATAAAATACAGCCCACAAGAGTGAATCGCAGCAATAACACACTGTAGAAAAGAAATTAGAAAACCTGTTAGTAACAACTTCAAGTATGACCCATCTAGAGACCCATGCCTGTGAGATGCCTGGATTTGTCTTTAACTGCATTCTCCTCAAATACACAAACTCACACATTCGAAGGTGACACGGTGAAAGGTGAAGTTGCAGCATTTAAAAATCAACTCAAACTGTTTGAGAGAAGGAGAGAGAAAAAGAGAAAACCCAGCCTAAAGTCCAATGATGAAGACTTTTCTGATGCATCTCCAAGTGTGACCTCTATCCAGATTACAGAAAACCCTCCTTTGTGGGTCAGGCGTACAGCAGGTTGAGCTCGATGAGTCTCCCGGCAAAGACGGCAAGCGTCCCGATGATGCACACGGCCATGAACACACAGAGCAGGATGTGGTCCAAAACCATGGCGACGAACTTCCACTCCTCTGCTGCCTGGAATGGGATGAGACAAGGAAGCGGGAAAGTCATGTTTGAGAACATATAACTTTGGATGTAGCCTACATAATTTGGGTGTTTACTAATTGGTAAGTTATATTCTGATAAAGGCAATATGGTTGATTTTTGATGACATTTTTTGTTGCTCGTGTTTTAAAATGTGCTTTACAGACACACAAGAGACTTTTCAATGTGGTAAATTATGAATTCATTTCAGTTTTTTTGTTTTTTGTCTCATTTGTTTAAACGTATAAATATTAGTTTTAAATGAATTTTAAGGAAGAGTTTGACATTTGGGCAAGTAATGCTTATTGAAGAAATATAAGAAACGAGCCAGCAGCTGGTTAGCTTTGCTGTGCACAAAGACTGAAAACAGGAGTGACAGCTAGCCTGGTTCTGTCCAAAGGTAAAACAAAATCTGCCTCCCAGCATCTCTAAAGCTCACTAATTAACATGTTATATCTTGTTTGTACTGAAGTGTACTGTATAACAGCAACAAGTTGCAGTTTTTTACAGGGGATTATGTGTTGGATTATTTTATGGTCGGGTGAGGTGACTTCCTAGAGTCTACGCTGGTTGCTAGACAACCTCAAGACGTCACTGAAATACGATTATATTTTTGCTATTTTTAGTGGAGGCTTTTTATTTTTATTGTTTCATTTTTTTAAAGTTTTTTTTTTTTGGCCTTTTTATTGCCTTTATTTTGATAGGGACAGCCGAAGATAGACAGGAAAGGTGGGGGGGTAGAGAGAGGGGATGACATGCAGCAAAGGGCCGCAGGTTGAATTCGAACACTGGGCCGCTGCAGCAAGGACTCAGCCTCAGTACATGGGTTGCCAGCTCTACCCACTGAGCTAACCGGGCGCCCAGTGGAGGCTTTTTAGCGCATCAGTAAACATATGGACTGCCTGAATTCACAGCTCTTTTATGAATTTTAGAAAAAGTAGAAAATGAGTTAGGTTCACACACATTACTCATACAGGGATTGTCTTACATTGTTAGATTCCTCGTCTGATTTCATGGTCTCAGCGATGTACTTCACCCCTTCAATGGCGCTGCGAACATCAGGGTTTTTAGTGATGGGAGACTGGTAGGTGACACTGGTGGGGGTGGGGTTACCTGCAGAGAGAGCAGGGACAGGTTATGGTTGTGGGGATACACAGAAATACTAAGCTTTAGGGTGAACCATGTCTTACGTCAACATGTTTGTGGAATTTAGTTAAAGCCTTGCCTGATATATCAGAGATGTCCATGTCAGTAGGGAACAGTCTCTTCTGCCGGATCTCCTGACTGGGACGCTTCATTGTTGAGAAGAACATCATGTTGGGAATGGTTTCGATGAAGACCTGAGAGAGACAGATGCAGATATTAGTCAAATTCCTTTCAAACCGTTTTCATCAGCCACATACAGCAATAGCATTTCTGAAATGAACACAGGTAGATAATAAAAGCAGAACATTAACCTTGCGGATCCAGGGGGGCATGGTGTGCGTGCTGGGCGAGCGGTGATGTGTGTTGATGACGATGACAGTGATGATGATGGAGGCGATGACAAACACCATTGTGAAGAGCATGTACTTCCCAATGAGAGGAACGGCGCTGGAGGTAGAGGGGATCAGCTCCACAATAACCAGCAGGAACACAGTCAGAGACAGCAGGACAGAGATGGACAGAGTCATCTTTTCACCTGCAGAGATGGACACACAAAGACGCACTTTCAGGCTACATTTACAGTCTGGATGCCAAACTTGAGAACACTGCTCACCTGAATTTGAGGTATATTGCCAATGCATTGTTTAAATCACATAGTATCACATATTGCATTATACTGGTGGGTTGACATTTGAGTGTTTTCTTTATGTTCTAGGGTTTAATGGATTTTCCACATAAGAAAGTCTACCCTAAAGGGTTTGAGAATGTCATACATATCTGTTTTGTGCCACATGTGTAATAATACATTTGAAATGGGTTACTTGCACAAACTGGTGAAAATGCAGCATGGTCTCACCTAATTTATATAGTCACCACCATTAAAGTTCTAGATAGTCTTTTCCCACCAGGACTACGTACCAGAATCAGTAGGCAGGTAGAAGACCAGTCCGGTGAGGAAAGAGAACAGCATGCAGGGAATGATGACGTTGACAATGAAATAGAGAGGCAGCCGCAGCATCAGGAAATGGTAGGTGATGTCAAGGTATGGTGTGTCGGGACAGCAGGTGTAGTAAACCCAGTGTTTCCAGCTCCTGTAGTCCTTCAGCACCCATTCACCCGACTCCATAAAATTACTGAGGTCAGGCCGATCGCTGTCCTACAAGGCAGAAGAGTTGGAAATAAGGCACTACAATAGAAAAGGGTATTACAAAGGGGTTGAAACTATCTGTGGGTTCCATGTTTTAAACTTTCATAGTGAAGTTAATTCTTTTTAGGGTGTATGCTTAAACAACACTGACACTTCTGCTTGTTCTTCATACTGAACTGTCAGTATAACCTTATAAATCTATAAATTACACTCACTGGGTTGATGACGACCAGCAGGCCATCGTATGTCCAGGTTCCCAGTTTCATGCTACAGTTCTGCAGGTCAAATGGGAAATGGAGCACAATAATCTCACAGTAACTCTTAAAGATGGCTGGAGGGTTCCATGTTATCTTCCCACTGTGCTCCAACAGGACTTTGGTTTCATGGATGATGGCAAAGTCACCGTCAGCACTGCAGCGGAGGAGGACAGTGACAGAGGAGAGGAGCAGTGAGACATTTTAAGGACATTTAATATACCAAACAAACAGAGAACAGAGAGTTTTTACTTGTTGTAGAGCACCAGGTCAGGTTTCCATATGTCGGTTGAAGGGACTCTGATCTTTCTGATGCCTCCATATTCATCCGGATTCCACTTCAGGTTCACATCTAACCATTGCTGGGGTGAACATTGTAAAATGCAAAATCATTTGGTCTAATGTACTGACATTCAGTTGTTTATTTTCCATTTGAGTATTATTTAAATAAATTAAAAAATCCTATTCACTTCATACATTGTGGAAATACAAAAAAAAAAAAAAAGTTGTGATGTAAAGTACATATCAGAGCAGAACAAACAAAAAGCTCACAAATCTACTAAGTGTAATGTATTCCCCAGGTAAGTACAAACCATTTGAATACATGACAAAAGTGATCAGTTACAGCAGCAGATAAGTAATCTGATAACTCACTGCATCAGCTATATAATGGTAGAAACTTTAACAGTATTCGTTTTTAGGGAATAAGGTTACAGAAACCATTGACAGTGTGAGGAAAGTTCAGCCTTGCTTACAGAAGTAGCTAATAATATGGGGCCTTATTTCCAAATGTTGTTAAATGTACATATTTAAATGTATTATCCACTTCAGTTGTTGATCGTGTGACCTGTGTATCATTGTTATTAGGGTTTCTAAATGAACGGTTATCTTGCATATTTACCTGTCTGAGACGGACATTACTGGTCACAATCTGGTTAACTTCATCCTGAGAGGCAGAAAAAGACAGATTAGAGATTCAGATTTAATAGATTTATTTAGAATTGTTTTTCTTACAAACATTTATTTAGTTTTTAAGTGCTCTGTTTTATTTATTATATTTTATAAGGAACAAAAAAAAAAACACGACAAAAAAGTGCGCACGCGCAATTAAATAACCGTGGATTAAAACACGAACGTGACTTTTAACGTGACTGAAAAAGTTTTGTACAGCAAGTTTTCGAGGCTAACAAAGTGTTTTGACATGGACACCATTGACAGATAGACACCAGCCGCCTTACCGTTACAATGCCAGTGACGGTAAAGGTTCAAACCCTTGTTTCGGTGTACGTTAAGGCTAGCTAGCGTTAATGGTGAGAAGGGACAATGGCTGGTTTAGCTAGCAGCAATAAAGTTGTTTGTCAACACTTCTGAAGCGAGTTAATTGTTGTCCTCTGTCAACAGCTTGTGGGGAAAGCTGAACATTGCGACCGAAAGAGAAGAAGAGAAAAAAAGGAGTAAATGTCGTCGAGGGACTTTTCAAGGCCGACTTCCATATTCCGAGACCGCTGCAGCTGGAGACCGACCCAGAAGGAGAAAGACCCAGAGGAGAAAGACCAGAAGGTAGAAAGAC